CAAAAAAACTTCCCGCCTCTTTCAAGAATACAAAATCATTTGAAATATTTTTTGGTGGCATTGTCATTGGCTCATTCTTTTATAATGGTGTTGTTAGTAAAAGTTATTTCAACTTCTTTGTGCACTAAAATGTTGTTGGGGTTAGCACGATTTAATCAATCATTATTAATATGTTATATCTTGTGACTTGTTGTAGGAACACATTATTTTAATTTTATTTTGAGTGCCATTTTAACTGAATATAATATGATTAGGTAGAGAAAGCAAAAGAAGTATAACAACAATAACAATAATGTGTGTATATATATGTGTACATATATTTTGTACTTTCCACGTGAATCATGACCAACATTCTTATCTGAGATAGAAAATAAATTAAAATATTCTAACGATGGCGGTAGCTATTATTTTGTAGTGAGTATATTAAAATATTTCAATTAAGTAAAAGGAAAAGTATTACTAATTATGTGACCGAGTAATCCAAGTAACTTGTTAGAAGAAGGGTGTAGAATATGCAGAATATTGACTAAAAGAGTTAAGTTTTTGTTATTAAAAACGCCAAACATCTCTGAACAAAATAAAATATTGAGAAGTAATTTTTTCTTCGTGAGCGCTTGTATAGGGACAGTGGCAAGTTTTTAAACAACGCACAAAACCAGTATTTCAAATTTCATGAATGATATCCGAGAACTGTAAACTTTTAAATGGTCTAATTTCATAAGGGATATTATATCTTCTGTGTGATATCATTTAAAATCTAATACACCTAGGAACAAAGCGATATTCTACAACTTTGCATCAAAATTCATCAATTGAATCTTAATTGAATGAAACTTTCTTTATCGTATTCATTTTTTTGCATTTAAATTTTAATGTGCCTAGAAAAACCTAAAACTATTAGCACTTTAAAAGAAATCCTCCTCCATTTTTTAGGATATTTATATTTAGAATCTCTCTTAAACCATACAGTAGGAAATTTAAAGGGATGGTTCAGTTGTAAAATACAGTGGATGGCAAAAAAATTTCAACAGCCAAAATAAGAATAAGTAGCACTAATTTTCACTTTCTTTTCCTTCACTTTCACCGTCAAATATATTTCTCAATTCTCATACGGTAAATATAAAGCTTCATCGTGGAGAAAAAAATAAAGTTTCATAAAATTTAATCTTACAAACAAGCATAACATCTCTCATTCCCACCAATATTGAACGGTATAAGGTGAATCAATGATTTTATCGAACATGTATGTTGGATATCTTTCTTTCAATTTATTTGTCCACCATAAATTTATCACTAAGATTTTATATTTGTAGTGGTCATAAATGAGATTATATGGGGAAAAGTGGAGATAAAACACTTGGCATATTTGTTCTTTCGGAAAAAAGAATGGGAAATAATGGATTGAAGATTCATCAATTTAACGTTGAGTTTTAACATTAAATTTTTACACATTATAATATATAGTTCTACTTTACTTCTTTGATAATCTTAGAAGGTTTACGATCATAATAGTTTATTGTACCATTTTTTATTCTTTCACAAGAACTTTAATTTATTCTCTGCTCTACTTCTATAAAATACGAAAGTCATAAATTTTTTTCTCTCTCTAGTATATTAGACCATTCTTATGGTGCTTTTGTTGATAATAATTTAAATTAAGAGACAACATTGTAATAGGATAGTTGTAGTATAAAATTATACTACAACATCACTTTGAGAATATACACTCTTACACCAACTTGAGATTATGAGAGCAAGTAATTTTTATATTTAGATATTGGTCAAGGGTAAATATTCATAAAAAATTTCTCTCTCTAGTATATTAGACCATTCATATGGTTCTTTTATTGATAATAGTTTCAACTAAGAGATAACAATATAATAGGATAGTTGTAGTATAAAATTATACGACAACATCACTTTGGGAATAAACACGTTTTACACCAGCTTCAGATCACGATAGTAAGAAATTTTTATATTTAGACATTGGTCAAGGGTAAATATTCCTTTGTAATTGAAAATATATCATCACACAATTAAAAAATAAACTTCACATGATTTAAGCATGTAAGTGTGCAACATATATATTTTTGTCAACTAAATGCTTTTTGGCAATGAAGTAACAGTTATAAATATATCAAAATTATAAATTTAACATGCATGTTAGGATCATCATAAGTCATGTATCCTAATATTTACAAAAAATAAATTTCACAAAAGTCACAAAAGGTAGAAATTTATAAATAAATAATAAAGTGAAGTTAAGAAAATAGAACCCGATTTTTATTGAGTCTCATCTAAGAGACTTGCATGTTATTAAAGATCGCAACCTTTCGTCTTTGTTTCTTATTTTTTTCTTCTGTCCGCAAGGTCTAAGTGAATTGTTTATCTTCTAAATGTGTTAGATAGACTCCATTGTGTAAGACGAAGATCCACAAAACAGCAACCAAATGTAGATTTATCCCACATGTAAATTTTGCCACAACATAATTCTTGACAAATATAGATAGGAATGAATATAAATTAGATTTATCCGTGTCTTTCCCTCCTTTAGGCTCATTTAAGGCAGCAACGGTTGACATTAGTAAGTAATACTACTATGAAAGGTTGCACCTCTTCAAATAAATTTGGTATTTTATTATATTTGTTTTAAGCAGAAAATTTAAATTAAGTAGAAGGGTAATTATGTAATTCAACTTTTCAGTTAAGGCCTTCCTGCTTTTAATGTAATATATAAATATAAATTATTAGTTTCCTACCCAAATTATACCTAGTCCTAATTACCACCCTACAGTTGAATAAATAAATTTAAATACCCCTTGATCTCATACACCTTACTTTAAGTTTATATACACGCTGGCCTTGTTGGACACTTATATCCGATGTGTGCTCCACATAGGATAAATAATATGATTTTGTATTACCTATACCAAAATTAAGAAAAAGAAATAAAAATTTAAAAAATGCGGATTAAAACCTATGAACTTAATAGCTTCTTTGGATGGTTGTTATGTATCGTTTCATAATGTATCGTATAGTATTATATTGTATTGTATTGTATCATTTTAATGTATACAATATTAGGATATATTGTATTGCTTGCCCTCGTTTCATGATGCCATGCACCAATAATATGAAGAATAAACTTGCAATATTATAAGAAAAGATAAGTTACGAGGTAGAATTTTTATATAAACAAGTAGGGTAAAGGATAAAATAAGATTATTTAATAATAAGAAAGGGCAAGATGAAGAAAAAAAGGTAACAATTCGACACCAAATCGGTCATTTCATAAAGTGACACTTTTCATCCAACAATAGATTTAACGATACGATACAATTAAATATAAGTAACATTCAAAATAAACTTTGTATTTAAAGTAATAATACGATACACTACAACATGTAACGACCACCCAAACAAGTTGTAAAAAACAACTAAATTAAATCATTATGTCCAAACTCTTCTCTCTCTCTCAGTAAGGTAAGTAAGTAATTGAGTGTTAGAGCCAAATGAATCGAAAGATTCATGTTTGGTTCGGGAAAGGATTATGGAATTTTGGAAAGGAATGAAAAAATAATCTACTTCATTAAGTGAATTATTAGATAAACAGAGGATCTTGAATACTATTTGAAATTTAGAAGACACTCTTAGAAAGACGGATTACCGTACTGGCTTACCCTTATTAAGAACAGACTGGCTGACTTCCTGGCTTTGTTTTATTCAAAGAAGGAGAGGAAAGCACAGACGGGAAAGAAAGGGAGAGCTCCTACTCAAGTTATCGAGTGACATATAAAACAAGGAGATATCTTTAAGCATGCGCAAAAGGCGATTAATCGAGATAGTGCGGAGGTGGTTAGGATGAAGCGTTAGTAGATATAGCAAGTGTGTCGGGGATGCGGCTCGGGCTAACCGGCAGGCTATAGAATCAGCCGATAGTCGCAGGCAAAAGTAGCGAATCACATAGATAAGCCCCTACCTGCTAGCACGCGGATGGATAGGGCGGGCGAAATCCGAAGGGGATGGATGTCTGAGTGGCTGAAAGAGTCGGTCTTGAAAACTGAAGTATTTGTAGAACTACCGGGGTTCGAATCCCTATCCATCCGCGAGGTCTTAAGTTCTCTCTTGCGTTATCTATAGATAAGAACGAATCGGATCGACTCGACTGATATAATAGATGGAATGGAATTTGTGTTCTATTTAGCTAGGACCTTGTCTCCCTTTCGTTTATCTTCCGGTCTCCTAGTATGGTTCTCCCATTTGCTCCTTCGATTTACCTAGAAATCTTAGGGTTCTAGTCTTGAAATTTCCATTAAACAATTTCAGTGAGCTTCCGTTTATATTTTGTTGGTTTTGGTGTTTAATCAGTGTAGGTGAGTTCCAATCAAGTGGAATAGTATTTCAGCCGTGGTCGGTCTTGGATTGACAGAGTGGATTCATCTTCATTCTCTTGAACAAAGTTGGGAAGAAAACCAAGAAATGTGTCTAAAAACTTTTGCAATTAAAGAAGAAAAATCATAATTATAGGAAAAGAAAAGGCATTAGTTGTGCTTTAATGGAGGAAGTTAAAAAGAGGAAGAAATAGGAGGAGCAGCCATGGGAAAGATGGGAAAATAGAGGAAAATGTTAATTAGGGGGCTTTTTACCATTTCAGCTGCTTAGGTGTGAGTTTTAATACACCCTCACGCGCCAAAGGCTGCTTGAGGCCACTTGCTATGCCATGTCGTAGACCGAGGGGTATTTAAATTCACTTATTCTAAGTGTAGGAGTAATTAGGACTAGACATAGTTTGTGGAGGAAACTAATAATCGGCGCCAAGTTCAAGATTGTCTTAAGACATTCTGCCTATATAAAATAAAATCTCTGAATGCCCCCTTTGATTATTAAGACATTCAAAGAAGACGAAGGAAAATTGTTTTCGTCTTTCATGAGCTTCATTTTTTTTATGAGCTTCATTCTTTGATTACTAGAAATCTATGAAAAAACTTTCTGAAGAAATGTTTCATAGGCAAATAATTCAAATATTGACACAACATCTAATTATTATAATCTCATATTACGTCCTACATAAGCACCAGTTATTACATCTGATGCTGAAACACACAAGAAGTCTACCACAATACTATTTAGTAAAGAGTTTAGCACGAAACTCCCATAAGGACGATGGCATTTGGGGTAGCATAACATGTGAATGCTTGCTATTGTTTCTGCAAGCAAATTTATCCTACATGCACCTTCATCCTGACAAAACCCTTACTATATGTACAATTTACTCACTTATGCTAGATGCTAGATGCTATATGCAATTCATATAGAAAGATACCGAAAGGTTCAAAGAATAGGCTGAGACATGGAGGTGAAGTTTGCTTGTCAAAATCTCCAACAAACTTCAGATATCTACATGTAAAAGCCTTCCCATCTTCACACATTTTCGCTTAACCAATGTTTTCCATTTCAGGACAGCACGAATTGTGCACCATATTGCTCTGGGATTTCCACGTCTTGCGATGTGAAAGCCTAAATTAGGAGAAACTGGCTGAATGCTTGAACTCGCGAACAATCCGTTCCCCGGCAATGCTGGTGTTCCAAGCTGATAATTGTTGTTGGGAGGTAGAAAATCGGTCATCCCTAGTGACTCAATTGAACCACTGGAACCCCAGTCGTAATCACCAGGGTAGATACTGCAGCAGGGATCACTGATCAAGAAACTGCTTGCCAAGGTCGAATTAAATGCTTGCATTCCATGAAAGCTTTCAGGCATGGACACTGCAGTTGGACTATCTTGTTGCACTATGTAGGCTAGTGATGGTGAAATTGTGGTACAGTCGGAGTTGCTCTGTAACTCCACTTGACCTGCAGAACACATTTTCTTAATCATCCATCATTTCTTAGGCAGAAGAGGAACAACAACGAAGTTTGGTTCAAAAGCCATTCCATCACTGGATCTCAAGACCTTAGACTAACTGTATAACCGCAAAGAGGGCCAGGTAAGCAAATGCAGGTGTTTTGGTCTTTTCTCTTTAGATGGTTAAAACATTGAAAGAAGTTTATTATTGGGTCCAAAGTCCAAACAATGAGAATGTTTTCAGGAATACAACTTATTTATGCTCAAACAGAAGCATGGATATGCTTATCTGTAACATATTTCTGCCAAACCCCAACCCTTAACCCCCCACCCCTCTCTTCCACCAACCCAAAAAAAATTAGAAAGGAAATAAAAAATGGAAAGTAAAGGGTAACCTAAGCGATTTATGACTGAAGAAAGGTGATCTGACAGTTCGTACCTTGTTCAACTCGGTAGTTCATATTCTGCTGGCTTGAACTAGGAATATGAGAAAAGCCAATTCGCAGATCTGATGCTAGGACTGCTTGGCCAATAAAAGAGTGGTCCTCAAGGAGAACGAGGTGATCCAAATTTTTGTAAGCACGACGCTTAAAGTCTTCGACCATTCTCTGGCAGTTATAAGAAATACTATCAGCTTCTTAACTCATACTGTCAAGAACCAAATAAATACCTGAGTGGGATACACACCTTCTGAAATACATCTAGTTTGTCCAAGGACTGGCAATTTTGTCCATCAAGAATTGCTCCTACAAGCTTATAGATGCAGTTGAACAAAAGTACTATGCTTTCTCCAGCATTATATATGTACCACTCACTGTTGTCTAACACACAAGTGTTCGCATGTTCTGTGATTTTCTCCCATGTGTTGTTTGTCGTCCCACAAGCCAGCACCTACGTATCAAGAATAAGGTTAGATGACACCACAAACAACTACTTTATTAATACAAAAGTTTGACTTTAAGACCAAAGACAGATTCTAAATTTTATTAAGGATGACCTTACCTCGCGTAATAGAGATGGATCCGTGACATACAGCCGTAGGAAGTCTTTCACACAGGATATTCCTTTCTGACTCAACCGTTTGTGAGATGCACCAGCTTTTGCAATCTTTTCCAACCGCCATATTTCATCACCCAAAGCGGGAGGGTAATGCTTCTTGTAAGCTAAACCAAAGGAATAACAAAACAAAATAATATCAGTACGAAAGGTGACATTAAAATAACAGGACAAAGCCTGGAAAGCAATATTAAAATCAAATCTCAACGAAATGGTTATTCTAATCCGCTTGAGACAAGTAGAAGTGGATAACATAGCAAAGCCTACACAAATTTCTACCCAACGGTCCTCTTTTCCTACATTGAAGGAAGTTATCAATAGGTTACTAGGAATAGGGCAGGTAATGCAGAAAAGGAACTTACCCTCCCCACGATGATCTTTCACAGTAAAGGGCTCGCTAACTCCTTCTCTGACCCTCAGTTCACCAGAACGGTTAATCAATTTCAGTCCCAACCTGAAGGTCCTGCTCTTTATCCAGCTTGAATTGTCAGTGAAGCTGATATCACCAAGATGCCCCACACCGTCCCTTAGCTGAATAATTAAATCTCCCGTCAATAATGGACGTTTTCCTTCTCTCTCACGAACAATTTTTCTGCTGAACTCTTCCTCAGTCCAGTCTTCTCGATCATTGGGATTAAATTCCCCATTAAGCACAACCACGCTAACCTTTACCGAAGATATGGGCCCAGATGTTATTCTCTGGTTGGAACTAGCATCATGCAAGACAACTTTAATGGGCCTATTGTCCACATTTTCTACTTTACTACCGGTGAAAAGGGTAGAAGGAAGTATATCGTCAAAATGTAGATGAATAGCCCTGGATTGAGTAGTCTCCTCCTCATTAGGTGAGGACCTGCAACAAACAAAGAAAATAATGTCAAATCATGTTTAACAAGATAAACATCAGCATGGTAGAGGAAAGTCACGGAGATCATCAACAGCCATTTGGTTAAAAGCAAGAACTAACCTCAGGGTTAATTGAAGAGTTCTCTCAATCTCGTCACGCACCTATCACCGTTTAAGAAAATAAACGATGATAAATACAGAAACTTTAACATAAGACAAATCAAAGAAAGAAATAAAATAAAACAAAATTACTCCAATTGGAAATTGAACAGAAATATTTCAAGATTTTGCCGTGTGAAGGACATTTTCACAGGATCTCATATACCTGCAGAATTACATACATGTACTGGTATTGTCTAATAACTGAACAAGCACATAAATCATATCAATAACAACAACAACAACAACAACAACCCAGTATAATCCCACGTGTGGGGTCTGGGAAGGGTAGTGTGTACGCAGACCTTACCCCTGCCCCGGAGGGTAGAGAGGTCGTTTCTGAAAGACCCTCGGCACAAGGAGATGACATATCAATAATAACACGAAGCAATAACAATCATCCAATGAAGAACAAGACACAATCAGATAAAAGGGAAGAACAACAAGTTGGAGAAATAAACGGTGAAAATAGGAATCTTCTTTGATACATAGTACAGATATTCAATGGCAGGTAAAAAGGATTAAGAAAAGGTAAAGAACACTTCGGGTAGCAATAAAACTGAAAAACCTTGTAACTTGTCCAAATGTAGGCAAAACTTACAGAAACATAAATGCAACTTTATCAACAAATGTGAATATATCTTGTCAAGGAAGTCCAGGCTTTAACCTGATGATTCATTAACCAAATAAATCTTCCAATCAAGAAAGGGCTTGAGAAGTTGCAAAATTTAACGAATGACTTCCCTTTGCACCTCCACAAAGACTAAATGCATTTATTCAGCAAATACAAAGATAACATTTTCTTGCTTTGAGCATAGAATCATACCCATTTTCGGATTGAGGGCTCCAGCCTTAGTGCAAGTTCTTGTGGAGAAGAATAACTCCTTAACCCCGTAAAAAGCCTGTGAAAAAATGCCATTCAGAACAAGGAATCCAAATTCACAAAAAACAGCTGAAATACAGAAATTTTAAGCAACATACGGGGTACAAGGATGTTGGCGCTTAGATTCCCGAGCTGAAAACTCAGAGCCGCCATCACTATCCCGATTGATATTCCTTTTTTGTACCATCAAAGTTGAATTGAGGAGTGAACATACAACAACTAATGATGAAATAGTCCTGCTCAATATGGACAACAGGTAACGTTCAACTGCCAATTACAAATGTCTTATATAGAAACTAAACTAATGACCCCATTTGGCAGGAACTGTGTAGGAAGCTTCAGTTATATCCAATTAATTTAATATGCTAATCACAAGAGTGAGACACGAATGGTGTGGTTCTTTTATGCATTAACACAAACACACTGTGGGTGCGGTGTGGTGTGGTGCGGTGTGGTGTGGTGTGCTGTGTGTGTGTGCGCGCGCGCGCGCGTGCGCGTGTAGTTCTTCACAATTATATTATTCAAACTGGAAGACTTCTTTAAGTCAATGTCGTCATCTGCATAACACGAAGACAATGTGGGTGGGTGTTCTTGAATAAAATATTGTTGCTTTTTTTTCTGATTAATCAAGGCTACAACTTGGAATATAGGTTACATCAATTGGGTTTTCAAGACTTGAAGAAGAAAAATCCAAGAAAATAACCGAAATTAGTAGTATTATTATATCACAGAAGAAGCAACGATCAACAACCTACCGCGTAAATTCAGAAAAATACAAGGAAAGTGCAGATAGCAGAAAATGAGGAATCACAATCAACCCAAAGTATGTGGAAGTGCGGGAAGACACAAAATTAATGCAACGCGTAGCTGCTGATTAGACTGATAAAGAATTCGGGTCTGTTTGGTCGCAACTCGCGACAAAGTCCAAAAATTTTATTTTGTGCGTAACGGACACTAGTTGTGTGACGCCTCTTTTTGTCTCACAACTGTGTGAGTCCCAGAATTTTGTGGATCCAGATGTGTAAGATATGGATCCACAAATATGTGAGATAAAAAGAAGCCTCACACAACTAGCGTGACACACAAAATAAAATCACTCACAAACAATCAACTATTTTTGTCGTCCATTTTCTTACTAGGAATAAACTCATTTTTTTTAATCTATTTTTGTCGGAAAGAATGTCTTTTTGGTAGTAACGAGAAAATAACAACAATAACCCACTATAGTCCCACAAGTGGGGTTTGGGGAGGGTAGTGTGTTCGTAGACCTTACCTTTACCCCAGTGGGGTAAAAAGGCTATTTCCGAAAGACCCTCGGCTTAAGAAGATGAAAAGACAAAAAGAGACAATATATCAATACCCTCGTAGAAATAATAACAACACAAGAACCAGTGAATATAAGAAATGCAGAAATAATGACCAGTAAATAAGGCTCGGCACTATGAAGATGGAAGAGTAGTGTAAACACAACACTGACCACTAGCAGTCTAAGACGAAATCCTAGCAGCATGTTTGGCCAAAGTTTCTTTTGGGCCAAAAGTGCTTTTTTTTTCTTCCAAAGTTGAGGTGTTTGGTCAAGCTATTAAAAGGAAAAAGAGTATTTTTGAGTAGAAGCTAAAATAGTCTGTATGGGCCAAAATTCGATCTAGCGTGGCGAGCACAAATGGACGAGCTGAGACCGAGGTCGAGGTTATGTACGGTCTAGTAGCGAGGAGTCGCTCAAAGGGGAAGATCAGTGCCGAGGCTGGGTACAGAGTTACGGCTACAATTGTTAGAACGTTCCTGTGACTATGAATGGGAATATTTTGTTGAATATTCCCTCACATTGTACTTTTTTAGGATTTTCTAGGAATATCCCTTTTAAATAGGAAGAGAGAGAAAATATTAAGGGGATTCGAAACTTCTGTAAAAGAACGTCCTGTAAAAGAATTGACTATCAAGAACATACAAAAGGCTTGTCTTGTCTTTTTTGGTTCCATCATACAACATTCTTCTTTAGTTCACAAGATCCGATGGCGCATTGTTCATTATCATTACATGCCGTCACATGTTATCTCTGAAGAGGGAATCGTCCACCTCATCCAACATTTGGGTGACTTATTGCGTCTTATTACATTAAATGCCATTTTACCACATTTATTGTATACATTCATTCTCATATTTATATCTAATCATTGAGCATTAACTCGGCATTTTTATTGATTAGAACACGGTTCACACCATCTAAGCTGCTAAATTACATATTTAGGATTTATTTCTTTTAACTTGGATTCGCCCCTTATCTATTCATTAAAATCGGTTTAACTAAAAAGAGCTTAACACTTTTTTGGTCAAACATTTTTGAGAATCAGAAAAAAGTACTCCCAAAAGCACTTTTTTTAGAAAAATATTAGTAGCATTTTTTAAAAACTTGACCAAACACTAATTGTTGCTCAAAAGTGCTTTTTCAATTAAATAGTCAAACACAAATTGTTTCTTACTAAAAGTATTTTTTGATACTTCTCAAAATGGGTTGATATTAAAAGCTTGGCCAAGGCTATTAGTCATAAATACTACTTTTAAATGACACGTTTACAGTTTTACTACTTCTAAGAAGTTGAGGGAAAAAAAAGGTAATGAAGCGAATGTGCATATCCCCACACAATGGCATGTCTCTCTATAAGCATCTTATTTTAAAAACTTCTACAGTTAAGCAATGAAATGAACGTTAATTTGGCCACTTTCAAATCCTTATATCAACCACAGTGATCACATCTATTACTCCTAATAATCAATCATACATTAGAAACCCATAATTATTACATGAATCATGTATACTATGCAAGTATTTCTAGATTTGATCCAAAACACCATATTGTCTTGCGTGGAAATTAAAACTAGATAAAACCAATGCGTTTGGTTGAGATAACCTACCGGCGTGAAAGAGACTAACAAATTTGAACTCAAACCAAAAAGTCTTTGATATTAACTATAATATTTCCTATCCAATTACTCAAATGGTCACTCAACTATCACAAATTATCTCCTAAAGTTACTTTTCTTTCGTTAGTAACAATAAAGTCACTGAACTATGCCTATTGCACTTAGAAGGTCACTCAACTACATTTTCCAAATTTTGGATTTCCAAATACCTATTTTACCCTCTAAATTATAAATATTTATCTTTTTTTATTTTTTAAAAAACTTTTTAATATTATGATTTACCCCTTTTTAATTTATATTATGGACTTGCCTATAGAATAAATAAATATTATTTATAAATTAAAAAAAAAGTATTTAAGCATTTATAATGCTGGAATAACAAAATAATGAGCATAGTAAAAAAATTAATTTGAATAATTTGTTCGTAATAATAACTTCGTATTAACAACAAAAATTCAAAAATCTATTTACACAATTCAGAATGAAAAAAAATAAAGGTTGTAAAATATATATTACATGCACGTAATATAAAAATAATTATATAAATAAAGGTATTTTTATAATATACATTATATATTATTGAAAATTATGCCCAATTATATTATTATGTTTCTACCAACTTTCCGATGACACAAAGTTATGTCACCGGAAAGCATGGGCGCTATCTATATAGGGTAAAATATGCTATGTTAAGTCGTGCATGAAATATATATAATATAATTGAGCATAATTTTCAAGAATATAGATGCTTAAATACTTTTTATTTTTTAATTTATAAATAATATTTATGTATTCTATAGGTAAGTCCATAATATAAATTAAAAAGGGGAAAATCATAATATTAAAAAATTAAAAAAAAATACAAAGAAGATAAATGTTTATAATTTAGGGTAAAATAAGTATTTGGCAATCCAAAATTTGGAAAATCTAGTTGAATGACCTTCTGAGTGCAATAGGTATAGTTCAGTAACTTTATTGTTACAAACGAAAGAAAAGTAACTTTAGGAGATAATTTGGGATAGTTAAGTGACCATTTGAGTAATGGGTTCGGAGAAATGATTAAAAAGTACTTTAGGAGTACTTAATAAATAATTACAAAAACTACTGCCAATGACAACACCAACAATTCGAATTAATTTTTCTAATGAAAGCCAAGTGTATCAGCATCAGTGTCTACACGACTACACCAATACCCAAAGGCCAGTCAAAGGAACTTGTCATTGTTAATTTCATTGAAACCGGGAAAGAGACCTGCCCTGTTATTTTTGGAAAGTTGAGGAAAACTTTTTCCTCCTTTTTAACAAAGTTTTCCTAGATGTTATTTTCTTGGAAATTCAAGGTTTTGAAGATATTATTGGAAGCTGTCCAATTCCCTCTTGTTTTGACTTCTTGTCAGTGTAGAAATGCTAAGATTGTTTGCTCATATTTGTCTCATGCCTGTCTCTCCTCCAATTGAACTATATTAAATTATTACAATCTCTTAGTCTCAGTAAAAAGTGATAACTTGTTTTGTTTATGTTAATGAAATAAATATTTGGTAACTTCTGACAAAATTCTTATAAACATATGTCGTTTTCGGCTTTTTGACTATTTGATGCATGTCGTTATAGACCTTTCTGCAGATAGTGTGAGTGTTTTGAGGAAAATAAAAAATAAACAAAATAGATTTACACCAAGTAAAGAGGTACTAATGATAATTTCTAGTTCACAAATTAATACCTCTACACCATCAACTACTTCATACATACCGTAGTAGACTTATTGTTGGAGGCAAGAATGTTTTTAAGGAAGGTGTTTTAAAGTGAAAAAAAAATTGTTTGCCAGTTTCGTACTGTATACGGTTAAAACTGGGCCTACCCAATTTTATTATTTGATTGAGGCAATTTTTACATTCCCATACACTATATGAAACTATATTATCCTCCCTACTCAAGTTTTACTATAATTATATTTTATATACCCAATTACTATTTATGTACATTTTAATGAAATTAATGATAATAATTAGTGTCCTAAAATTACTCTAACATATCTTCCACTCCCCCACATTTCTCTCTCCACATCCCACCCCCTCCCCCCTCCCCACGTATCTTGCACAAGAGAGCAGCAATTCCACCATTAACAATAATTAAAATGCTTTGAAGCTTTGAATTCGAATTTGGGTTTTCAAAAAACATTGTTTGTTTGGATTGGATGTTGTTGCAAAGAATTGAGAATTCTCTCTACGTCTCTCTCTATCTCTCAATCCCAAATTTCAGTAATGTAAAGCAAAGGAAAAGAGAGTAGCAATTCCACCATTGACAGCTATTAAAAAGCTTTGAAGCTTTGAATTCAAATTTGGTTTTTCAAAAATCATTATTTGTTTGGATTGGGTGTTGCTGCAAATGATTGGGAATATGATTTGGAGTTTATATCTCAATTTTGAGGGGTTTTGGTGAAGATTAGACTTGGTTTTGGCTGAATTTCAGATTGAAACTCGAAGAAGAAGAAGAAGAAGAAGAAGAAGAAGAAGAAGAAGAAGAAGAAGAGACATACATTATACTGCAGAAATTGTAGAAAAATTGTATTCTGTTGTTTATATATTTTTTTTTTATTTATTTAATTATTGTATGAAAGTTGAACAACATTGTATAAAAATTATATTTAAGTTGTATGATATTGTAGTTGTATATAACTGAGTAGAAATAATGTATAAAATTTATAGATAAGTTGTATAATATATAATTAGTTGTATGAAATTTGTTTTTACTATGTATAAATCAGATACAAAATATACAAAAGATATATTGTATAAAATTTGTATTTAAGCTGTATGTTATTGTAGTTGTATTTAACTGGGTAGAAATAATATGTGAAAGTTGTAGATAAGTTGTAGTAAGTTGTATAATATATAATTAGTTGTATGAAATTTATTTTACTATGTATAAATTAGATACAAA